TTTTTTTTTTTTTGCTCCGAATGCCTTCAGGGCAGGTTTGGCTGGCTTGAGTTGTGGGGATCAAACCACAGCAACCTGAGCCTGACTGCTTTGTTTAAGCCACTTAAAGAGCTGAGCTAAGGGGCAAGCCCCCTAAACAAATACTTTCAAATACTCTAGGAACCAACAACTGTGCAGCCACACCACTGGATTTGAATCAGGAGCCCTGACACCTAGCTGTCCTATAACCATGGATTGTTCTTGGTTACTCTGCTTTTTTTTTTTTTTTGTACAGGGGACTGAACTCAGGACCTTAAGCTTGTCAGGCAGGCGCTTATGTCCCTAGTTTGCTTATCTATACGTATTACAGCTATCTTCACTAGATTGTCATGGGAAAGAAAACCGTGCCTTTGGAAGCCATTGAGCCTTATATCCAAGTGTATTATTCCTGGTTTTTCCATCCTGATCCCCTGGTAGCACTTCAGAAAAATATCATGTAGGTCCTTATCAGGAAAAGACCAGGGACCCATATCTGCAAACGCGGAGCTGGGTCAGACCAGGCCCTCGGGATCCCGGCAGGTCCGCGCACCCTTCAGATCACGTGTCCGCCTGGACACCCGGGTGAGGACAGAAGGCAAGGCAGCCTCAAGGGAGAGTGAGGGGGTGGACGTATGCTCCCAGAAGAACGTTAGAGCCAGGGAGGTCAAGGCGAGGAACAATGCTTCGGACACACCAGATGAGCAATGGCGCGCACGGCTCGGTATCCCCAGTGGAGGTGGGGCCAAGGGAAAGGAATTTCGGTTCTCAGACCACTTCTGGGGGCCTCCGCTACAGTTCCACCCGGCACAAACCCTGTGTCCCTCGCCCCACCCCCCGCCGGCGAGACCATACCATTATGCCTTTACAGGGTTGGGCGTGAATCGGGAGCTAGTCCTGCACAGCAAGAAGTTATTTATTAGAAAACACGGTAATAAATATTATTATCTCAGTCTTCGTCTGACCCTTCTCGTTTCATTTTGTCTGCTTCAGCTGTTTACATTCCTTCGAACACGTTCAGAAACCGGCCCTGCTTCCCCCTCTGTTTGACACAGATGGTACATTCCGCCGCGGTGCGTAGGCGGGGGAGGGCTACATAAACTCCGACGCAGGAGGCGGGACTGCTCAGTCCTCGAGGCGTCGGTGCTGTGCGGTGGAGGTATTTCGTTGCTTGTCGGCCTGCGTGCGCGTGCGCGGACATGGCCTCAAACGGTATGTAGGGGCGCGAGGCGGTGGTTCCGTGCCTGCTCAGGGCCTCGTTGCCCCTCCGGTGGGTTTGGGTTTTCGGTGGGCCCGAGGTGATGATGTCGTAGCAGTGTTTCGCACCGCTGTGGCGGGAAGCAGTTGAGAAGGTGGAAGGGGGAGGCCGATGTCGCCATTTTGTTTCGTTCCCCTGGCGCCTCGCGCAAGGAGCTGTCTTTCTTCCGTTGTCGATTTGCATGGAGTTTTGGGACGGGGACTTCTTAGCGATTTTAAGTATTAGGGGAGGGAGGGGATGCTAAGGCTCTGCCGCCTTGGCTCGCACCCTTCGGCCCGCGCTGGGGTCCGCTTTGTCGCAGCGCTGCATCCGGGCACTTGGTGCGCGCACGCGCCCGCCTGCCCCCTCCCCCTTGCTCGTCGTGTGTATTCCCCTTCTCCACCTCATGTTGGTTTGGCTTTTTGTCGCGAGACCCTCAGCGGTAGGTTGCGATTCTTGCGTCCGCTTGGGCTTCGGCCCCCAGGGCCCCTGGGGAAAGGGCGGGACTGGTGTTCCCGCCTGGTTGCCACGCGGCCAGGGGCGGAGGCCCGGGGGTCCGGCCTCGCTTCCGTTGAGCGGAGAGAGATTGACCGTCTTACTTGGGGACCTGGCCCGAGTGTTTTCCCGCCCAAATTTCTATTAATGAGGGAAGAACTGAAAGAAGCGGCCGCACGAGGCCCACATCCTCTCCCGGTTCCTTTCCTGCGGGGGAAGGCCTTGTTTCCTGTACTGAGATGAGCTGATCCTGTTCATCTTTATCGTGGCGTTATATTTTTAAACTTTTCTTTTCTTGAGATAGGGTCTCGGTATGCTGTTCAGGCTGGCCTTGAGATCAATTTGTAGCTTAGGCTGCTCTTGTACTCGCAACGATCCTCCTGCTTCAGCGTCCCAAGTGCTGGGATTACAGTCGTGCGCCATCGCGCCCGGCTCATATCATGTCTTTTTCAAAATGATTTTTGTTCTGGGTTTGATGATCTTCCAGAGCTGAGAGGATACAGAACAGAACTGGAATACCAGTTACCATCTGCCTCTTGGGGTTGGCACATTTATGAATTTTTTTTTTTTTTTTTTTGGGTGAAAGGATTTCAGGCTTTGCCTTAAAGCCTGACTTTTCCTTTCTCCCAAGTTAGTCAAAGTGTGAAGAATGGCCTTTTATTTTTTTGTCTTTTGTAAGATGGTTTCTTGCTGTGTAGTTGTGGTTGGCCTTGAACTCAACTCAAGCTGGCCGGGAACTTCTGGGTCCTGCGTCAGCCTTCCCAGCTCTGGGATTAGAGGAGTGTAGCTCCACGTGCTGCAACTTTTTTTTTTCTGAGACACTCTTAAACGTTTGAGTCTTCAGAGTGCCACATTCAAATCCATGTCCTTTAGCCCCGTAGCTTTAGGCCAGTTAGTATCCCTTGGCTCTTGGTGATAGTACTTTTCCCCGAAGAGTGGTTGTAAAAGTGAAATGTTAGGTAAATTTGGAGCAGTTCCTGATATAAATTGAGTTTTGAGGTAATTGTAGGTGTTTTTCCAATGAGATACACTTAATTTTTTCAATTGTTAAGTAGTCTTCTTGGTCTTTAGAAATTTGTGGTTCTTTGAGACAGGCTGACTGTGAACTCATAGCTCAGGCAGTCCTGCCTCAGCCTCCCCAAGTGCTGGGATTACAGGGGTGCTCTGCCACATCCCTTTTGAAAATTGTGATGAAACTGCTAATTTGGCCTGCTCAGCCTGTGCATCAAGGGGGGAATTGTGCTTTTTCTTAGAAAACAATGAAATTTTTTTTTTTTTTTAATCTGGAGGTTCCAGGATTTCAAGAGTTTAGCACTATTCCATTGTAAATATTAGAGTGGCACCTGAAATTAATGTAATTGTGTTTTTGTTTTGCAGACTATACTCAACAAGCAACCCAAAGGTGAGTGCCATGTTTTGAGTTTCAGAGTTTGTAGAGGTAAAGGTAACATTAAATATCCCCTTTTTCCCCCTAAGGTGACTTTTTTGATAGAATGTCTTTTTTCTTTGTAGCTATGGGGCCTACCCCACCCAGCCTGGGCAGGGCTACTCCCAGCAGAGCAATCAGCCCTATGGACAGCAGAGTTACAGTGGCTATGGCCAGTCAGCAGACACTTCAAGCTATGGCCAGAGCAGCTATGGTTCTTCTTATGGACAGACTCAGAACAGTGAGTCCTTTAGTGTGTTATTTCTCTTCCTGGTCTTTCTGAATGTCAGTTTCTTAAGCCCGAACAGTGCTGAAATGTTGAAACTTTTTTTCCCCCCTGAATCAGTTTATAGCTCTTAAAAGTTTTTTGGATTCTTAGTCATTTTAAGAAAAAAGTGCCTCAGTGCCTCCCTGGCAAGCTTGAGGTGGTGAGTTTGATTCCTGGTTCCAAACCAAACAAAAACAGCAAAAGAAAATAAAAAGTGCTTAATGATTGTGGTTGTTTCTTTTCCTTTTTTGGACTTCTTAGCTGTTATGCTGGACTTTTATGTGGTATTGGGGCCACTTGCATGGTAGACAGGTACTGTACATAGTACCACTGTCATACCCAGCCCATTATTATTTATTTTGAGATACAGATAGAGGGTCTTACAAAAGTTAGCCAGGCTGGCCTTGGAGTTGATATTCTCCTGCCATAGCCTCTTTTTTTTGGTGGGGGGGAGACAGGGTTTGCTGTGCAGTTTGGGCTGGTCTTGTGCTCACTTTTGTAGCCCCCAGGCTGATCTCGAATTCCCAGAGATCCTCCTGACTTAACCTCCGGAGTGCTGGAATTACAGGTCTGGTTCTGGGGGCCTCACTGGGTGCCAGCATCTGGGGCCAATGTGGGGCTAGGGATCAAACTGAGGTCCTTGTGCTTATGACTCTGAGCTATCTCCCTGGCTCCTGGGTCAGCCTCTTCAGTGATATGTGCCATACCCTCCCTAGTTTTGGGCTCTTTTTTTTGGTCATTTTGAAACATTTTGGGCCAGAGAGATAGCTCAGTGGACTTAAGTGCTTGCTTAAGCAAGCATGGGGACTGTGGTTCCATCCTGGCACCCTCAGCCTTTCCAGCCCTGTTCCCAGGTTTGCAGAGCCAGCTACTGAGTCTGGGTGTGGTGACACATGTCTGTAATGCCAGTGCTGGGGAGGCTGAGAACAGGAAGATCACTGCAAGTTTGAACTGCTTGGTGAGGCCCTATACCAAATACATTTGAAAAAAGAAAAACATTTACTTTGTAGTTTAGGCTGGCGATGAGCTCAGTGATCTTCCTGCCCAGCCTCCTGAGTGTTGGGATCACAGGCCTGTGCCGCCGTTGGCCAGCTTTGGGCTGATTCTTAGATGGAGGAAATGCTCAGCTTGAAAGTGCTTTTAAGTTAGGTTATGTGATGCCATGTGATACAAGGAAGTAGAATTTCCTGTGAGGTCTAGAAGCCTAAATGATGTGAGTTGGTTGTCTTGTATAGCTTGTACTCATCCCAGCACATGAAAGTCCGCTTAATAAATTGAAGTCTTTCCAGCTGTGGTTAATGGTCTCAGAGAGCCAACTTTATTAAAGAGTACGAAATGGTAAAAAGTTCAGAAAAGATAACAGAATTTCATTAAAGTAATAGGAATTTGGTATATTGCATAATCTTCAAATTAGTTTAGGTAACCAGATATAAACCTGCAAAGATGTCTAAAAAGTTATAAGAAATTAAAAAAAAAATTAAGCATTAATTGCTCCTTTCAATACACTGGCAGAAGTTAGCAATGCAGTTATCCAAACCATCCTGCATATTTACGTGAAAAACATGGGAACACTTCACAGATTTGTGTGTCACCCTTGCACAGGGGCCATGTTAATCTCTGTGTCCATCCAGTTTTAGTATGTGTTACTAAAGCAAGCACAGAGACTGATTTTTGAATTGGTGAAGTAACTTTGGAATAGTCCTAAAGTTGAATGTTAAATTTAAGAGCTTAAAAGAAGGGTAACTTTAATGTTTAAAGCTGACATTTCAGTTGTGGGTGAACATGAACATTAGTACATAATGTTTTTGTTTAGGGGACTTTGTTTCCTTGTAGCTTTCGTGATTCCCATTTTCTTTTCTTCATAGCAGGTTATGGCACACAGTCAGCTCCCCAGGGTTATGGCTCCACTGGTGGCTATGGCAGTAGCCAGGGTTCCCAGTCATCTTATGGTCAGCAGTCCTCTTATCCTGGCTATGGTCAGCAGCCAGCTCCCAGCAGCACCTCGGGAAGGTAAGATGTAAGGGGTGAGGCCGAAAAGATGAGGGGTAAATTAATTGATGGGTTGGTGTTGGTAAAAACAGTAGGGTAGGGTAAAAGAAAAGGGATGTCTTGGGCATACATACTGGGATTATAATTTTGTTTTTTTTCTCTTGTAGTTATGGTGGTAGTTCTCAGAGCAGCAGCTATGGGCAGCCCCAGAGTGGGGGCTATGGCCAACAGTCTGGCTATGGTGGACAGCAACAGAGCTACGGACAGCAGCAAAGCTCCTACAATCCCCCTCAGGGCTATGGACAGCAGAGCCAGTACAACAGCAGCAGTGGCGGTGGAGGGGGTGGTGGAGGTGAGAAAGCATCTTTAGCGGTCCCGTACTTGTTGGCATTCTTTGTTTGGGCTTTATTCTAAAGGAGTTACTTTCTTGTTGCCTGCCCCTCTTTTTTGTTCTGTTGTTCGTTTCTGCCATGTTGATCCATTTTATACAGTATTATATACCTTGTTTCCCCTTTGGTGCTGGGATTAAACCCAGGGCCTTCCTTGTCCATGCTAAACACAGCCTCTGAAACTAAACCACTTGCTCCTGTTTTTAAAAGATCTTTTCTTCTTTGCAGGCAATTACGGCCAAGATCAGTCCTCCATGAGTGGTGGCGGCGGTGGCTATGGCAATCAGGACCAGAGTGGTGGTGGCGATGGCGGCTACAGGGGAGGCCAGCAGGACCGTGGGGGCCGAGGCAGGGGTGGTGGCGGTGGTTACAACCGCAGCAGTGGTGGCTATGAACCCAGAGGTCGTGGAGGTGGCCGTGGAGGCAGAGGCGGCATGGGGTAGGTGTCTCATGAGCCAGGGAGTGTCTTTGGTGGGGAGTGTGGAGGGTTGCATGAGTCGCCCCTGAAACCAGTCCCCAGTGCATGGTTAGTGTTCTTGTTTTCTGGGAATCTGTGAGGCCTCTCGATTTGGGAACGCTGACTCTTCTTTTGTATGTCCCCATTTTACTTTTGTGAGAGCTTGGGAGCCTGAATTTCTGTCCACACATCTGAATAGACATTTGAGTATTGATGCTTTTATTTCTAAAGAAAATATTGTTATGGATGGATTAGGGTTACTGATATCCTAGGCAAAATCATGGAAGTAAAAGACTTTGTTCTTTTGCAAAGGAAACCAGTGTGCCCACTCCTGGGAAAATAGTAGGGAAACTTGGTATGCGTTTTCCTATGTGTCCTCCAAGGGAGTTGGTAATGGTTAACTTGACATAAGCTTCCAGGAATTGGCTACTTTTCCCGTATTTCTGTAGTCATTTGAATTCATGAGCTTGATTTGCACCAATTTGATTGACTTGTGATTCTCTGTGTGACTTGTGGTTTACGAGGTCATTTGAAGTGTGCAGACTTGAGGCAGAATACTCTTGACAGTGGTATCCCACCTATTTGTTCCACTGTCCCGCCTTGCCTGGGTTAGTTAAAAACTGCTTGTCCAACTGGATCTTCTTACCTTCTCACTGAAGTTGAAGTAAAGCCTTAGATTTGATTTAAAAATTTGTCAAATCTGTTGGTAAATATGAAAGACCCAACTCTGTCTCCCTTGAAAACGTGAGGAATGTCAATGTTACAGTTTTTTGGGGAAAAAATAGGCTTTAAGAATTAGTTTGTACATGGTAAGTATTTAGAGGTGGGTGGGGGCAATCTCAGTAATGTACAGGAAATAAGGAAAGCTCTTATTGTGTGTGTTTAATGCAAACTTTAAAAAGAAAAACAACTGTTATGTGACTGTTAACCTGCTCTGCATTTTATGTGCCACAGGTATGAAAGGTGACATTGCAAAATACTCCGCTCTTCTCACAGTGTAGAAGGGGTGACCCCGGGGGTGGGGTATGATCAAAACCAGCTCAGTAGTTAGGATAGGGCTTAGCTAAGTTTGTCTTGCTTTAGGGGGAAGTTGCCTTTGGTTTTGAATTTTTATGGACTAGGGTTGGGTCTGCTTGCTGCTTTCAAAGCAAAAACCACAAATATGTGTTCAGGGCTATCCCAGCCTGGTGTGAAAATGTCTTCTGGGTACATGGGGGTAGGGTTTTTAAACCACCTACTGGGTTGTCAACCACTCGCCACAAGAGGAAAAAAACATCTGCTACATCAGAAGAACAGCCGAGGAAAATGGGTCATTTTTTTTTGCAGAGGAAATAGATACATAACCTTTTAAAGCAAAATTCTTAAGTGTGTCTGAGAAACTGCACACATGTGTGTGACATGCTCAAAGGTCAGACAAGGGTTGGCCAGGAAGGGATGTATTTTAGTAGTCACTTGTATCTTTTTCCCAAAACACCTACCCATGTTTGGGGAATGTTAAAAAACACCCTCTTGTAGCCGTTGGAAGCTTCATGTCCTTTCTTCTAACTTGTCTTCTCCAGCGGAAGTGACCGAGGTGGCTTCAATAAATTTGGTGGTAAGTGAACAGAGTTTCCAAAATTCCCAACTCCCAGCAATGCTTTGATTGTTCATTTGCAGATGTCTTAGCGTGTTAAGTGTCACAGGTTTTGAAGTGTCCATAACCACCTCTGGAAAGGGGTGGGGGAGGATGCTGCCTGCTGCCAGGTATGTGCTAACCTGGAGGCAGGCAGGTTAAGACTCGGGAGTCACCTGTACCAAATTGGTTTGACTTGTTTCATAGAGGTATCTAGTCGACCTCTTGACAGGGGTGTTGCCACACTTGGCATATAGTGAGTACCATCATGAGAAACTGGAGCGTGTGCTGGGACACGTACCAACTTGGCTTTTTAGGATCGTTTTGATCACTTACGTCTAAGGCTAGTGTGTGTATGTGTATTAACAATCTCCAAATGTTTGAATTCTGGGAGAAGGACACGAAATAATGCCTTACCGTGAGGCTGGTGAAGTTGGTGTATATTTTTATGTTAAGTATGGAGTGGCGTCAATGCAATTCTACTTATGGTTTTAACTTGGGCAAATAGAAACTAGCTCTGGAAAGGAAGGTGTGGACTACAAGAAAGGTTGGGAGCATGTGTGGCTCATGGGAAATAACCAGGTCTTAAAACAGCACAAACTGAATTCATGAAAAAAATGGCAAATATGAGAAGTCTCCCAGTAAGCTGGAACTTTTCTGGTTTGGTTAACTAACAAAAAGGTTTCTTGATTTGTTTCAACACTTAAAGCCAAAGGCTTGGGTTCATGATTTAGGTGTCATTGCGTATGGGTACAATATTTATATATGACAAATTCAGATAAAGTGGTCAAAGATGGTCTCTGGAAAAAAAATAGAGGCTGCATTATGGATATAAGATTTCTGGTCTGTTCCCTGGGACATGCTTTAAAATACAATAGCTATCATACAAGTTTTTTATTTTCATGTGGTTTTGGGGAAATTTAACATGGTCTTAAGAATGGTTTCTAAAGAGAAAAATTACCCCACAAGGGATGTGTCTTTGGTGTTTTAAAGTTTGGAGAACTGGATGAATGCACATCACATTGCTGGTGGTGAGCCTGTCTCTCGGGTGAGAGAACAGGGCCAGGGTATGAGTTGGTTTGTTAACTTTAAAGGATTCCCCTCCTGTCTCCTCTTCCCCAAGTCTGCGCTGAGGAAATTTTCCAGCTCAGTATGGGGGAGGCAGCATTTTCTGAAGTGTTGGACTTGTCCCTGTGAGGACTCAAGTTACAGATCATAAGAAAGGGGCCTGTGATTCCCCCGGCCTGTCTGTCATTTGCTCTGGGCAGGCCAAGGACAGGGTTTGGACTGAGGCTGTGAGCATTTACGTTATATTTTGGAAGAATTTGAATTTAGTATATTTTTCTTTGTCATTTCCAGTTGACTAACACTCTTCTTTTCCTTGTTTTTTTCTTCTGTTTTTGTTTTTGTTTCTGTTTTTTTTTTTTTTTTCTTTTTGTTTTTATGTCACTTAAGGCCCTCGGGACCAAGGATCACGTCATGATTCTGGTGAGTTCATTGATGGCATGAGACTGGCCAAAGTGGTATTTACACTGTACTTAGGAGTAGTTTAGAGGAGGGAAGAGAGTTTAGGGTAATAACAAATGGTTCAGTTCCCTCCCTCAGTCACCAGCATCAGGTTGATGGGCTACAGGGAACCTGAGTGCATGACAAGGACCAGGTGATGCTGAACTGTTGGTTTCAAGTAGTTTCTGAGATGTGGGTCCTGTCCAAGTTAGTGAATAAAGTCAGTGAGTGAGAAAGACTTGGTGAATCACAAATAAAAGAAAGTGTTTACTTTTGTATTCATATTTATTGCATTCTTAGTTTCTTAAAGAATCTTTAGTTGAACACTGGTGGTTGTTGAGTGCTCTGGGGCAATTAACCCCTGATAGCTATTTTTAGTACTAAAGTTTTAACATGTTTTAAAAGGGTAGTTGTAAAACTAAATGTAAAAATTTATGAAAGATGGTTGGCTTGTAGGCAAAGTAATAAAGCAGAAGGGATATGTACAAGCTTCCTTTTGGGGTGTCTAACCAAAATCCAATATGATACTGGACTGATGATCAGTTCTTTATCGATTTTTGCCTCAACAGCTTAATAGTGTTTCTCAAAGTTATATTTTGTTACTATTATGCCTCATTTTTAAATCTGTGTTTTTCTTTAATCTTGAAATTCTCATTTTCTGCTGTGCTCAAGCAGAACAGGATAATTCTGACAACAACACCATCTT